AGGGACTTTAGGTTTACCCTCCGTCCGTCTGTCCGTCCGTCAGTCTGTCCGTCCGTCAGTCCGTCCGTCCACAAAACTGGATCCCGCGATAACACAAAAAGTACTGAAAATATTTTAATGAAACTTGATATATGGATAGATGGCAGTATGGAGATTATGCACGTCTTTTTCTTTTCTTCCTATGTTGAAAATTCTGGTTGCTATGGCAACAAATAGACTGAAAATATGGCAAATTTTACTCATAACCTGGATCCCGCAATAATGCAAAAAGTACTGAAAATATTTTTATGGAACTTGATATATGGATAGATGGCAGTATGGAGATTATGCACGTCTTTTTCTTTTCTTCCTATGTTGAAAATTCTGGTTGCTATGTCAAGAAATAGACTGAAAATATGGCAAATTTTACACATAACCTGGATCCAGTGATAACACAAAAAGTACTGAAAATATGTTTATGAAACTTGACATATGGGTATATGGCAGTATGGAAATTATGCACATCCTTTTCTTATCTTCCTATGTTGAAAATTCTGGTTGCTATGGCAACAAATAGACTGAATTTCAAGATTTCTGATTCTAGTTTTTAAGTTTTTTCACTATAAGTTCTTTATTTCTTAAGGCATTTTCTTCAAACTTTGAATATAAGTTGCTTGTAATCAACCACATCATATATGGCAAGGTTTACAACTCTAGCACAAAATTTATCAGAATTACCTCCCTTGAACTTAAAATTTTCATGAAAAAACATTGTTTTTTTTTAATATTCTCTTTTTCTGAATGTATCTACTTCAAACTTCATATAAATGTTTCTTATTATCACTCAACATTTGTGAGTTTTCAATACTCTAGCAAGACTATTTCCAGAATTATGCCCCTTTTGAACTTTTTTTTTGAGAAAGTGGTAATTTTTACTCCAACTTCTTCAATCATGATAGGATTTGAAAAATGTTATATTTTGATAACAGGGATGTTTAAAAAATAACTTTAGAGTGTCCTCTAGTCCGTCTGTCTGTACATAAAAACTGTTTCCCGTGATCACTTTTAAAGAACTTTTTCAACAAATTTTCTTAAAATAGGAACATAAGTGAATGGCCAATGGCCCTTCAGAATGTTGCTTGGGCTCTTACCGGTAGGGGACTTATGGATTGCTTGCAATACTATGATAATTGCTTGTTTATTTTGTTTCAACTAGTTTAAAAGTTTTAAAGTTAAAAAAAGAACTGGTAGTGGGCCATGCTGCCCAGGTCATTTTTGGCGGGCACGGTGGTTATTTAGAAAGATTGCTAGCAAAGCATAACCTAATGTCGTCTGCTGGAAGGTCATGGTCAAAATTGTACCATTCAGGCAAAGAGATATGTTTTTTCTTTGTCTGTGCCTTGATTTTATTGTACACATTTCGGCTTGAAGAAAGGTCACTCTAAATATGATGCCAGCACAAAGGTCAAGGTCAACGAGATATTATAAATAACTATATTCGTTATATTAGTATTACATTGCTGTTGACGGTATAAGTATATACTTGTACATTACTCACATGAACGGATGGATTCTTGTCCTATGTGATTTCTTTAGAGCATTCTCTACCTAAAGAGAATACACTTGTAAAATTTTGGCATTTTCCGTCAATGTTCGGATTTAAAATCGGCAAAGTGATTACCTTCTTTTCAACAATAAAACGGGCCTCAGCAACAGCGGTTGCCAGTGTCAAAAATCTCATGTACAGGCACATTCTCGACCTATGTGAATATCTTTCTTTTATTATCTTATTACGGGAGCCCGTGGCATACAATGCAGTTGCAAGCGTCTGTACATCCCATTTACGGACGCATTTTCGCCCTTACAACTAAGATACAAGCCCGTATAATATTATATACATGACGACAATCTGCTGCCGGTGCAAAGGTATTTACAAGCCCGGGATTGTAAAACTCTTTTCTTACACTTGAAGATAAGCATGATAAGGATTTATGTTCATTTTATTAATCTCAAGGGTTTTGAATAAATCGGCGAATAAATAAATAAATACGGTACAGAGTCATGGAGCCCGTCATTCAGTTAAAGATAAAATTTGATCAAGAGTAAATAAACTTGGGCTGATTACCATAAAATACATTGAAATAGTGTGAGACCGTAATTTCTATTTCTTTATTTAAAGATTTATGTTGAATTAAAATAAACCCGTTCACGGCGGAATTTACTTGATATTGCAATACGAGACGTGATTTCTTAATTTTAGATAAATCCTCCGTGTTTTAATTGGAATATATTCGTTCGATTAACAGTTGGTAAGTGCAATAATCAATAATGCATGCAATTACCATTTTGGTTCGATTACTAGAAAAATTCAATCAATAAGGATGTGCTTGATTTACAGCAATTAAAATAGAAATTGAATACACCGTTCCTTAACTAAGGTATTGAATCTTAGCAAATTTGATAAGATATCATTTTACTCATGTAAGTTTTAATGATTGCATTGTTTCTAAAGGAATACTTCATACATTATCTAATTCATGCTTATCCCATGTACGTGTGATAAAAGACATGTGGGGGAAAATACCGTTCCATCTATAATAACATCAAAGTGATAACAAGCGAAATGATAAAATATAAATGCAAAAAATAACTGTAACACAATCCGCGTTTTAAAACTTTTGATTAAATAGAAGATAAACAATGACATTAAGATTACATTAGAAACATATAACTGTTGACACAGCAGTGTCGCAAGTGCAAATAAATTTGAAAATGAAAGGAAATCATGCAAATAAGGCACTCTAAAAGATATATGACACAATTTATGCTTCTTTCAAAATGAGATATTGTTTGCATAAGAATTACATTTATTAAAAATGGATACACTTTAATGTTCGAAGAAGGGATATTTTACAATAAATGATGTGAAATTGTGCATGTTATCAAGCAATAAAATATTTTAAATTGAATGTTTTAAGGTTAGGATAAACGTCTCCACCCATCCACTTTTATCTTTAATTATATGAACATGTTCGTGGAGACCAGTTTGGATTATTCAAACAGTATTTTGACAGGGCAATTTTAATCAACACTGTTTAAGGATATGTAATAAATATTTTCAATAAAGGGTAGGTTTGAATATGCATGTTATATTGATTTACTAATAATGTTCACGTAAACATATTTTTTCTATCTATATTTTTGCATTCTTCTTTATATTTTTCTTTGGTGTTGTCGAACGTGATTTAAACACGTAGCATACTTTCGAACACAACCTGTACTTTATATGGGTTGCTGAAAATTTAAGTATTAACAACATCTTAAGTACTAGCATCGTTTTCAAAGTCGCAGAGTTCATTTTGTATTCATCATAAATATATTAGATTTTCTTGTGAGTTTTTTTTATATTAAGAAAAAGAACAAGATATACGATATTGGAATACCACCTCTGACATGTACGTGATTTTGTCTCGGGTTAGGACAATTTATGTAAAGTTTAGGTGCAGTTTAAGTGCAATGTACCTGAAAAGATATTCGTGTTTCTGTTAATGACATGATTACTATTGATATATCTCATTATTTACTTATTCTTTATTTTCATCATAAACATTAGTTTCAAAACGTATGATCGTGTGCCTTTTTTGTAACTATTTAATATTGGCAGCCATTACCACCAGTGCACAGTGCGACCATCCTGCAAGTCCGCGCATTATGACTACTGTTTACTTTGCTCAATTTCAATTCTTTTAAAGGGACTCCACTGAGATTTTTTGGCATGCCGAGACTGGAAATAATTATTGGACATTAATGTTCTATTTGATGAAGGTTAGACCAATAACTTGTGTACAAAATTTCAGATCTTTCTCTCACTTCGTATGTCCAAAATAATTATTCTAAATGTGAAAAAAATGACCCAAATTTAAAAAGCATAGCAACGCTTTCCACTTAAATCAAGCTAAGATTAGCACAAAAATATGATTTCCAATTTACTAAGTATACTGAGTATATTTACTAATTATCTTTTGCATATATGTCTGTTTTAAGTTCCCCAGTCGATCTATGTTAGAAATTCAAAAATTATATCTTTAGGCTTTAGTAGGGTCTACCTCAGTGGAGTTCCATTAAATCCATCAGATCCATCAGGTTCGAGGTTAAAGTAAGACGTTTAATAATACATGGGATATTAAATGAATTATCGGGACATGTTTATTTAAGTTTGACCAAATTATGAAAACAATTATTATCGATAATCTGTGTTTATTTTTCATCATGCCGGTGTATGGTTTATTTGAATATACTGAACAGATTGTGCGTGACACATCAAATGGTTTACCGTGTCAATATTTGTATTGTGAAATAACACCGTGATTGAACGCTTAATTTCTTTCGTTCTCCTCTCGTTTTAATGAAGTGGCAAAATAATTGACGAAAGTAAAAATAACATTGACAGGGACTTAACACATTGATAATGTTTATGCTTGAAGGCGTATCGCACAAAAAAGGGAAATATTTTAATTTTAAAAATATACCTTGCACTTTAAAGCTATTTAGAAAGAGGTTTGCAATGAAATAAGTACTTAAAATATATAAAAACACACGTATTCACAGACCCGTTAATTTCATACAGGATATTGAATGTGTGTAGGTCCCGTACTGAATTTATTGAATGGGTTGAATAAAATTATATTATGCTACGACTCTCTGGCAAGCAATATATTCATATTTCATTCAAAAAGCTCAATAAATTTAGTAATGAAACTACGTGAATATATTATTCTATCTATCACATACCTAAAATAAGATACCTAATATAAGCACAGTATTTTTTCTTTGATGCTTATATACTGTAACACTAACTGCATTGGTTTGCAGCTCTATTTATAGCCACAAAACTACTACTTGTTCGAGGGTACTTGTGGGGCTATCGAGGATGTATTCTAAATAAGCTGTGAAAAGTTTCACCGAAGAAAATGTTTGTTTTCTGATCATATTTCATATAAGATGTTCTCTTCTATTTTCAGGGCCCGAGACTTCAGACGTCAGGGAATATAAGACATTTGCAGAAACACAGAAAGCTGGCAAAGTCAAGTTTGAACACATCTGTAACCATGGATGTTGAAGTCGACAACGATCTTCAATGTCCAATTTGTCTAGAACTTTACACATATCCCATAATTCTGCCTTGCTCGCACGTGCTGTGTCGGTCGCCATGCGCAGAACAACTGTTTGATTTCAACTTTATACGATGTCCGGTTTGTAGGGACAATTGCTATGTGAGCGGAGGAATTTCAAGTTTACCAAGAGTTATAGCCCTTGAAAATATCATAGAGCGGTATAAAACGGAACAGAAAAAAGAAAAACCGTCTACAACAAAATCGAACTCTAAGCAGACGACAAATAGTCCTCAGGCAAATCAATCGGATACTAATGAAAATCTTGCTAAATCTTTATCTTTATTAAATAGTAGTGTAACAACATTATCATCCCTAACAGAATCTTTCAAGACTGGTTCAGAAATTAAGTGTCAAAATTGTAAAAGTGCTACAAGAAAACGCGCGAAAAAGTATTGTTTGACATGTGAAAGTAATTTCTGTGCAACTTGTTTGCGACAAAACCATCCGAACAAAGACCCGTTCACTGATCATGAGTTTACAGAGCCAAAAGAACATTCATCCAATAAAGTTTCGTCAAAATCTACCAGTAGTAACGCTAGTGCAACACCCGGTTCTACTTACAGAGACATTATTGATTGTTATTGTACATTATGTGCTCAGCCATTTTGTTCCGGTTCCGACGATAGACTGGTACACAATAGTCATTCAGTGTTACCAATCGAAAACGCCTATAAGGAATTCAAGGTAAACATTCCTTCATTGTTGTTACTGGTAAATATCACTTTAAGCTTGAAATCATACGAACCAAGGGAAAATACGTACTAGTTGATTTTGAAGCAACAAATCATATATGTAGGCAAAATGACAACAACATCAAACATGCATACAAAACCAAGTTATTACATTTCGATATAGATACATGTATAGAATTTATCTACTCTTCCTGATTGGATATATATGGAATGTTAAGTCGTTCGCATTAACGATTAGTCATAAAAATGAAAATGATCATTAATGTCATCTTAAAATATATAGAAATGCTATTGAAAAAGAGAAAATTTCCTGTCATCTATGCTCCTTAAGTACTGATATCAGGATTGCTGAACGACCTATATCATTTTACTTCTTATTCACCTCATAATCACATCATAATCTCCTCATATTCATCTCATGTTCACCTCATAGTCAAAGAGTGCAATTTATGCAACATACTTGTATAAGTAAAAAAAAACATTTTCTTTTCCCAGAATGCTATTGAGGAAAATGCAGACAAACTCTCCAGCAGCCAGGCCAAAGTTGTCACCAGTCTTAAAGACTTAAAAGATGGCCTTAAAGATGTGCAGGTATGCTAAGTTTAACCTAAATCATATTTTTTAATATCTTTCCTGAATGTAAAATTATTTAAGTTGATTATTTAACAAATCCTAATGAATTCAAGAATTCGCTGATGTCAGTGGATATGCATATATATGCTGTCAGTTTGAAACCAGACACGCTTATATTTCGGCATGAATTTCTGCTCTCCTGTTTTGGCATATTGACAGTTGGACCCTTCGACATAAAGGAGCACAACTGAGGTCAAAAAGCCTAAAACATAAAGTTTGATATTCTTACATAAATCAAGTGAAACACTTTAAATCGGAAAAAAACCTGGAAAGGGTAATAAAGAAATATACTCAGAATTTAGTTAAATAACGCTCTTTTCAAGGGGCAATTTATTGCCCGATTTGAGTGGAAAGCTTTTTCAACGCTATTCAGTTTTAGGTGATTTTGCAGAATGAAAATAATTATTGTGAAAAAAAAACAGGAAGAGGGAATGATCTGAAAATTTGCACACAAGATTTAGGTGTAGACTTTAATAAAATGGTACACAAATCTCGGAGAAAATCTTTCCAGTCCCATTATCCCAAAAACACCTCAGACCCTTTAACGCCAGGCCCCATTCATGATTGTGAACAAAAATCAGGATCAGGATAAAATAATCCAAATTTTATTTTCGGTGCTGTATGAAATAAAAATTGATAATTTTGGTCTATAATAATGTGGTATATTTACAAAATGTTAAAGTTGCTGACTTGTGAAGACATTAACTTATTTATGGATTTAATTTAATAGTAACAATAGAAATTACAGTAACAACTGGATCGAAATAAGGATCAAGATAAATATTTGGGTCAACTTCTACACGCGCAAATCTTGTAAAACTATTCCGAAAATCTTCTCAAATATGGTATTTTAAGTCAATCTTTAAGCAAAAATTGAATATCAAATTTATGAGACTAAAAAGGAAGAAAAAAAAATGAAATTAAAATTTTGATCCTGAGCTTGATACTTTCCTTATTGTTTTTTTGTTTGTTTGTTTTTTGTTTGTTTCTTTTTTTTTGTGAACACGGGGACAAATTAATTGATCACATGTTATATATTACAGCACGTGTTATCGAGACGTAGGGACGAGATTAACGTGCAGTGTGATATGTTGCTCGCGGAAATTGAGAACAAAAGAAGTTATTTTCTTGCCGATCTCGAATACGAAGAGAGAATTAACTCAAACAGCATCGAAGACAGTATCAAGAGACTTGAGAAAGTTCTCGGGGCTTCGCAAGGTCTGCAGGGATACGTCAAAGATGTTCTGTCCTCGGAGAAGGCGCCATTCTTAGAGGTAAGCCTTGAAAATGACATGAATTAATATCATACATGTATATAGCATAATTCTAAAATTCACCGTCAAATATGTAAAATATAATGTCAACGTTAAATTGTAATAGAAATAAAGATCTAATCTGATTGATAGAATGATTGATTGATTGGATTGATTGATTTACTGGTTGGTTGGTTGGTTTGTTTGTTTGTTGATTGATTGATTGAGTGGATTTAATAATTGACTGATTGATTGAGCGGATTGATTGATTGATTGATTGATTGATTAGATTGAGTTGATTGATTGATTGATTGACAGATGATTCTTTTCATTTCAGATTGCAAGCACATTAAATGAACGGTAAGTGCAGACAACTTAACTTTGCTAATTTCTCTTCTACAATATTTTAAATTTGATTAAGGAACCTATTCCAGTTGATAATTACTTTTTTACCTTGTTTAAATGATAAAATATTTTTAGAAAGCGTTGCACTATTTGGATTCCTTGGTCAGTTTAGCAAATGTGAGATTCTAATTATTTTAAGACATAACTTTGGTAAAATTTTGCAATTGTAAAAATAACGAGCTTTGTCCATTTGTGAAAGAAATCCATTTGCTTTCAAACGAAATAACATGTCAGACCAGGGTCTTCAAAATTTCTATTTGAAAGACGCTGGTCAGATAAACTTTGAACAATCAGTCAAATGTTATAAGATATGCTATTTACACGTTTGATTTATGATAATAGAGTGTTTATGTGACACCTGCCAATGTAATAATGCATGCAACACAAGCAAGTTATGTTTGAAATTTGTACTTTTTTATAAAAGTAGTTCGGAGAAATGTTGAAGACAAAAACATTAGGCTACACATGCTAAAACAAACCATGAAAGCCATGGACAGTTTACGCTTAAGATATTTATATTGTTTCTTTTCTCTTGAAAATATGTATTCAATTAAATTATACGTATACATGTGCATTATTATTATTATTTTCACAGCGTTCAGAAAGCGACTCGTGACTGTGAGAGCGCGAGCACCGTGTTGCCATTGGATACGGATAATTTAAATTACAAGGTCGTCGACTGCAGGAGAGAAAAGGTGCTACTCAACGAACTTCATTACCTCAGTCGTAAGTTCGAATCTTTATTCTAAATGGCGGTGTAGGGGGGGGGGGGAAGATAAATAAAACTTTAAACTTGATTGGCAGTTGTCTGCTTCCTTACACATAAAAAAGGTAAAAACACAATCTAAATGTTATAATTGTAAACTTGTAATAATGACAGTTAAAGGGTCAGTTTTATCTATGGCCGAGTGGTTAAGGTCGTTGACTTTAAACCACATTCCCCTCACCGCTGTGGGTTCGAATCATGGACAGGGACTTTTGATTCTTTCATGCGTGGAATCTATCTAGCATGCTTACGAACGTCGGCAATAATGCACAGAAGGTCACGCACCTGAGGTATTTCTTCACCAGTAAAGCTAGAACGTCGACATGTGACCTATACTGCGTCGCTGTGACAAACAAACAAACAAACTCTGTTATCACATTTAAATTAGTATTTTAGCACAGATAAAATCATATTTACTTTAGTAGAGAACTTTTATTGAGCTCTTTTTGATGTCTGTTTCAAAATTAAGTGAAATTGCAATTGCTCTAAACTTGATGTATGAAATTATTACAGCGCCATCAACTCCTATCGTGGACGTGACTCGGTGTTCACGGAGTGAGAGTACTGTGGTCCTAGCGTTATGTCCACCAACAAATGTACACGAAGTTGTTGACCAGTATGAAGTCCATTTCTGCTCCGAGGAACAAAAGAACGTAGAATTAGAGGTAAAGTTTAACGACAGTGATGTGACGATGTGCCTTGACATGAACCAAATAAAACGAACGATTTAGCATAAATAGCCATATTAAATTATAGTTTTGTATTAACATTTACTTAAAATACTCAGAAAATTCCAGCTCACCTAATCCAATTTTGCTTTGTGGGAACAAACATTTTAGTGACTTTAACAAAAAAAAACCTTCAATTGTTGTAAAAATATATATCATGATTTAAGTTATAGAAATACTATAATGTTTTAAGAACAGGCACACACATTTTTTTTATCAAACTATGCATAGAAAATAGAACAACACCTAAATATCTTGTCCTAGTGTTATGTTGGAGGCGTCAAATAAATGCCCCAATGGCTATTGATTCACCTAATGTTTTAATTGCCAGCTATCTAATAGTTGGGAGACTGCAGTATAGTTAATTAAGATAATTTAATATATATTTAAGGCATTTTGACATTGGAGGAAAAATCAATGCATGTCCAATTTCAGGAAACAGTTCTTGTGAAGAATTCTGTAGAAGATAGTTCATCCACAAAGATCTCAGCAAACGCTTCCGGTGTCCTGGTGCTACTCCTAGAAAACCTGTGTCGATCAGCCACGTATTACTTCTGTCTTTCCGCCAGTAACTTAGCGGGAAAGTCCGGAAGTTCGGAAGTGGTACAATGCACAACTTTAGCCGACGGAGAGAACGTTATACCCGGTAAAAACATCAAGTTAATTATTATAGAACTTCTGTGACAATTCCTTTCGAACTGAAGATGCTATATTTCCTGTCTTTACCTAATATTTAATATTTGCTCTAGCTATTAGCTATATAGTACATTCAAATAACTGTAAGAATCTATATATTTAAAGAAAGGTATGAAACAATTAGGCAAAAGCATTGCCGTACGGAGTTTTCATTTTTTATTGTTACAGATAAGTAAGAAATAAATAAGGTGTTAGCCAAAGAAGTGAGAACTTCGCTGACGAAATACATATTTAATGAATATATGTGACGTAATGGCAACATAAAGTACCTTACCATACAATGTTTACACTGAAATCGGTAAATATTCTTCATTCTTTTGCTTTGTAGCCCCTTCTATAACAGAGAGACTTTGCAAACGGTTTACTTCGTCTATTCAAATATTTTCATCGAGTCCGGTAGATGTCGCTGCGGAGCAGAAGATATCCCACTTCCTGTTATATCGTCAACCATCTCAAAATCGTGTTTGGAAGTGTGTGTCAATGTACGGACGCGAGGAGCACCGAGTATTTGGACTGGCTCCCAGCACAGAGTATGAATTTGTAATCCTAGCATATAATCAACGCGGAGAGTGCCAACTGTCTAACAAAGTGCTTTTGCAAACGGAGTCATCGTCAAGTTTTTAGATTTGGAATAGTCCAGCAAGTAGCTTTATTTAGCTTCAAAATTGAAAATAGTACAAACGCGATACTATATATAGATCTAAATGTAGAACCTTTATTCCAGTTTAATGTATACAGCTAAGATTAAACGCTAAAAAGGGGAGCATTTGCAATCTATGCTCCTGCTAAACTTTACGAAGACAAACATTTTACTGAATCCCTATAATAAAAATTATTTAAAAGTTAGACCTGAAACAACTAAATTTAACCAAAATGAAGAATATGTAAATGGATCATTTGCGATTTCACCATTTTTAATCTTTACCTCATAGTTTATAGAGCATCAGTATTTTGTCGATATTTATTTATTTATTTATTTTTACAAAACATACATGTATACTTTGCTAGTCACTGTAGAATTATTTGAAATGTGATATATATGCTGTGTGTGATTTTTAATTTAAAAAATAACTTTTTGGGGAATGTTTAAAGATCTGTGATACTTTCATATGACTGTTATTTGGCTATAAAGACATAATGTGTTACCGTTATTTATTTGTAATGGCATTGCGTGACATATTTTTGTCGGAAATGACATGGCGTGACAAAAATGTATCTATGTATTTTTATAAAAAAAATATTTTGCACACTATTTATTGCTGTTACTTTGCACTGTTATTTAAGTATTGCTGTAGGTATTTTTTCACTGCCAGTGTTAATGGTAATTTCAATTGTAGGGGAAAGCTTCTGCTTGTTATTGTGCCATTGTTTGATTAAAAAAGTATTTGAATTTGCAGTTTTTCTTTGTTGTATTTTGTTTCCTTAATTTGGGTCTATGTCTTCGTTTTTTGCTGTAAAACAGATGTATTACACCGATGAGGACATTTCATTTTCATGAATTCCCAATTTCATCGTCGTGAATTCACAATTTTAACTTCTTGAATTCACGTTTTCAACATACTAAATTCACGACGACTTAACTTCACGAAGTCACGATTTTTACTTCATGATCTCACATACCGCTGCGGAGGAATGACGTCTTTACGACAATTCGCAAAGTAAGTATTTCCAATAAATTTAACCGCTATAGGTATTTTGGTATTGAAAGAGAAAATAAAACATGCTCACTTTGTAATCAGCAAGAAATAGGTGATGAATTTCATTATATTTTTAAATGTACTTATTTTAATAATGAAAGACACAGGTATATCAGTAACTATTATTCAAGGTTTCCTAGTATTTTAAATTTTCAGGCTCTAATGTGTAGCGACAACAGAAATACTTTATTTAATCTAGCCATTTTTGTCAAAGCTATAATGCTGAAATTTCAATAAGTAATAGTAACCGTACGAGGAATAGGTCTGCATAGTATTTACAGACCCGGGTGGCGATTTGAAGACCGAGAGAGCGTAGCGATCGAGGTTTTTAAAAGGCCACCGGGTCTGTAAATACTATACAGACCTATTCCTAGTGCGGTAACTATCTTACCTACATGCTCTTTTGTTTTTCTATCCATACATCAGTTTTTAGCTCAGTATTTATTAATATTACTCACAAGAAACATATAACTTTACGTACTTTATCATGTTTAAGAAAGCATTCTAAAGCCAAGCAAAGATACCATCCGCTACGCTCTTGTGATTCATTTGTTCACAAATCAGGTGTTATTTGAATATTCTCGTGATTTTCGTGGGGTTTCATTAGGTAATGTACTTGTTCAGTTGAGTCACAGAAAATGAAAACAGAACTTGTCGAGTAGGGAAAGGTAAGATCATTATTTTGATATATGAATGCATAATATATTAATGATATAAACAAATACTGAGGAAGATAAAAACGTTTTCTAATCATAAAAACGGAACACTTTATCTTTATATATAATAAATTTCATGGTAAATAGATGATCAGGCTATTTCTTATACATGTATAATTAAAATATACGATTTTTTCAAAGGAAAGTAAAAGACGGGGTTCTATGAATAAATATTAGTTATACATGTAGTTACACCGTTATGTAAGTTGGGTTTTGTTGTTGTTTTTTATGATGGTTGATTTTAAAGGTTCTTAGAATTTCATCCATGTTTGGAAGAGTTTTCTTTCCGTGTATTCTTAATTAGCATCATCCGTTATAAGACCGCATGTAAGCACGCGGTCTACAATGGAAGCACAAGTCTTATTCTTGATACTGGTATATAAAATCCAAATTGTAATTTAAAAATAACTGGGAAAAATGAGAAAAACGGTCTTATACTAAAGGTGAACTATACTCTCACTGAAAGTAATAATTTGGAAAAGAAAGATGCAGAAGTTGACTTTGATTCGATATGCACCAAAACTATAATCGTCGTATATATTCTATGATGCAGAATTGTTAAAATAATGCAGGATTGTACAAATTCAGACATAGTTGTGGAAATAAATACCGAAAACTAGTATCTTGCGTTAGGTATACCGAAAAGCAAACTTTAAAGAAAGGCTTAATGTGCGTTGTTATACTCATTACTATCGGCGAACTACAAGACTTCAATGCCAGAACAGTAGCCAGTACGTTTTTTCTCACAATTAATCTGGAATATAAGTTATGAGGGTCCTTACAGCCGAATGCGCTAATTTATTTCGATTAATCTTTAAAATATATATCGCCCTTTTTTCTTTTTCCTATTCAAAGTGGTCACAAGTAGAGATTTTGATGCTAAAGCATCAAGTCGCCGGATAGAAAATGACTGTATTATCATAAATATAAAAAAAAATCAGTTTAAATAATGGTTCAGGTATAAAGAAAAGAGGAACAATTTATGTTGAGTAACTGTTTATTCACAATAAAACATCATATATGAAGCAAACTTGCTTAGCAATATTGTTAAGGAACTGCTATGATTATTAAGCAAGTATTTCGTACGTTAGTTTACGTAACTTATTATGATTTATGCTAAATATTTTATTGATAGTATAGATCTCGATATTAAATTAATTAATATGTGGTAAGTATAGGACGAAGTTGTGACCTAGTAGGCCAAATTCGAATCTTTGAAAATCCCTTTTGCAGTTTTCATAAAACTATTTTTTTGCGTTATCGAAAAAAATAAGCTATTTAGTTGAAATCAATATTCCTGTCGTTACATACGATATAGTTAACGTTTAATTACCTTTCAGTTCGATAAAATATTAACAAAAAGATATTTTATTAGTTTTCATTATTATGTGCCGTTTTGGTAACCTGCGCGACGAAAATCGACGGAATATAACGAAGACGACGATTACCACTATTTATTTCAATAAATGTGCCTCTTTAGCATAAATCTATTTTGTGATGTTCAACCTAAACTAAACTATTGAACATTGACAGAAAGGGCAAAATTTAACCCTTTACCAAGATAAAATGAAAAGGTTTTGAAAATTTATTTAATTCTTTAATGTACTAATCCTTTCTAATGATATAAAATATGAAACTGATTAATGAAAGATAACTTAATTTGTAATTATTTATACATTTGCATCTAATTAGCCCCCATACCGTTTTCCAACTAGTATGTCTTATCAGCAATCTGTTACTATTAATAGATTCTATAACACTAACATACAACGTGTAGTCACGTGATTCTTACAATAGAACAGGGAGAATCTGTTTATAATTAGATAAAAATAATGAAATATAATAGGTTTCATAAGATATAAAACAACCAGATAATTTAAATGTGTCATTTTAAATATCATTCATGATTTATCAATCATAAAATAGCAACGCTTGACACTTAGAAAAAAGTAAAAGTATCCCTAAATTCAATGACTGGTCCATAGGGATACGTTATTAATTCATTTTATGAAAATTGTAATGTTGCTTTTTAAGATGTCAATATTTGTATATTTCATTTCATTTAGCAACGTTAATTTATTTTTGAATTTTTAAGATTCTGAAAAATAATTGTGGTCCTTAATTGTTCAGTAATTGATTTGCTTTTATTTTCAGATTTTAAGGCCTTCTCCTACCATAGATATAATATTAAACTGTTACAAATATAGTCGCCGGTTTCTACCGGCGACTAATTACCCCCCCCCCCCCCTCCCCCACAATTCAGCGATATTTTACGGTGAATATTGTGTACTGTAATGCACTAGTTTCTCGACTTCACATATTTTCTAGTGTATAGAGAACAATAGAACAATAACCGGTCGGTATCTATTTGCAGACCTGTTAACCGGTCGGTAAGTGATTTACTAGACCGCTTTTAACAAAGGAGTCGGTAGGTAAGTCATCTTCCTTATTTACTTCATGCCATGTTTGTATTATTATTTTTTGTTTTGTTGATTGTTCACTCTTATGCCCTTAAGGGCCATGAGTTTTGTTTATAAATAAAATAAATAAATAAATGAAAAATGAATTCAGGCAACACCTGTCAGTAAAAAACCATACAGTTTGCCCCTCAAAGGATGTTTGTTGCTCCGAAGAGACGGTATTGACTATATGTATATAACTCATCTTATGTAAGCTGTATCCGTTGTCAACGAACAAATATAGTTCACAGTAATTTATATTCTTTTTTATTTGCTTCTTTAATGAGGGTAAACGTTCCGAACTCTTGTTTGTAAAAAATAAGATTTCATTCAATCTTTAGTTGTTTTTTTTTTTAAATTTATTTTCACTGCGTCCTTTTTTAACATACTAGTACTTTTTTAGTAGAAGTAGAATTCCTCATTTCTAATTGAGGTCAAATCTTCACACTAAATTATACATTCATTTCAAATTTGAAAATTAAAATAAAACATTGCTATCATACACAAATGTTCAACTTAAGTGCAGACGGTATTAATAAAAAGGAAAGTGCGCTCCCTAATGATAGATGGAAAAGGTACCAACCCTGTCTTATCAACTTATTCAAAGCCTCCACGGAACAGTTTCATCAACAAATGATCAACGATATAAACCAGTATGTCATATAGGTTATAAATTAGTCGTCCCTTTGAATAAAATCAGTCTCTGGTTTTCTCCAGGCTTTCTGTGAATGGCAGTTTGACAAGCTTCATATTATTTGATTTCATTTCTCCAATCTTTATTATTTGTTTATCTGTTATTTATACACAATGAATATAGAATAGGTTCCTTGAAACAAAGATATGAAAATAAAACCAACAACATGTACTGTTAAACAACTATGTTGTTTTATTTAATCTCATATTGCAATGTTTATACCGATACGGCATTTCTTGCACAAATAATAAATAATTAAATAAAGATTTTAAACATACATTAACATACAAATATGTGAAAACCAACAAATGTCTCGATAAGTAGTAATGAAAATCAAACAGAGGTTTAAAATACGTATTTTTTATCACTATTTCTGCAGCATGACAGACGTCTGAAGAAATTAGCAATTCTTGTACCAAAGCCTCCTCTCGTTTTTCTCTGTCGCCTACTTTCCGCTAATTCATTCTGTTTCGCATTTTGTACCAGCATTTCTACAGCATTTTTGACAATCCTATCCTGTTCCGCCTTACTAAGGTCTTCAGTGTAATGGATCTTTACTTTTCCGTATTTTGTTTTGATCTTTTTAACTTTTGAAAATTTAGGGAACTCTTTTTCTTCCATTAAGTCCGCTTTAACTGAAACCTTAGCGTCAGTAAGTTTGTTTGCATCAGAGTTGTCAATACACTCTTTACGTAGGGAGCTAATGCTATCTTCATGTAGATTTCTGTATCTTTTTGTGCAATCTTCTAAATGATCTGCAAAACTTTTCACGTCTGAGGTACTGGCACTTATATGACTATTAGACGTGTTGTCGTTGAAATTAACAGCTGAGATTTTAGCATTTGTTTCATATTTTAAACCTTTCTCCAGGCTGTCCTGTTGCTCTGCAAAACAAACAAAAATAATAAATTTTAAATAAAAAAAAAACCCGCGCCTTGCTTTGCAATTGATTAAAAACATGGTCCACATGTTAGACATTTTACACATGCAATACGAGTTGTAAAAACTATTTCAATAAATACAATGCTTGCTGTAGTGATTAATTTAAAAGAAACGGCGAGCGTGTGAAGACTGGTCTTTACATCCAGAGACAGTGGGTTCGAATTCCAGTGTCTGATACTAGTATTTCAACATGCACATATTACACTTAAGCAATAAAAGCACCAAAGAAGCGGTCAATAATTGTGATATAAGCGAATATCTTGGTAACCTCGCAAAAAGCTCTTTTTTATTACGTTGTAATAATTATGAAACTAAAACAAACAGTAAATAGGAATAATTTAAACTAAATGCAGTAAATATATATATAAAAGGCGACCTGCTGACATACCTTTGCTAGCATTTAATGTGTAATCCATCACCATAGCTTTGATACTTGGCTTAACATCTGTAATTTGCTTCTCAATTCCCTCTGGTCGTCTGATCAAACTGGCGTATAAACTTAAACGACTCTCCAAGTATTCACTCTTTGAAAAATATTCATTGGCTGTGAGATTTGGGGATTCTAGAGAAACTGTTTCAGTAGCCATTTCATCTCTGATATTGTAGTCAGAAGCACGTCCGTCTGATTCATCTAAAGGTACAAAATGATTGTTATTTTATTGCAATTAGTTATGTAAAACATTCGAAACACCTACAACTTCAGTAGCATCATAGCGACTTTACTCTTCATATTTTAAAAATACATGTAAGTCGATTTAATGCATGCGTTTAATTATAAATCATTCTTTGGCAATTTCTACCAAGTAAAGAATTCTTCTATGAAAAATAAAAATGATATTTAAAATGAAAAAGGAAAATATAGATTTAGTTACCATTTGATATTTGTTGGGGTTTAGGATGTTCTTGAACTGTAACCTTCGTTTCAGTTGGACATATACATTTATCATCCTCGGCAATCTGGACAGCTTTCCGTAACATATCGTTGACTATTTCATGAACGACTTGCAAACTGTCTTTTCTCTGTTTTTCCTCCACGCCAGTAATTATTTGTTCGAGTATCATGTCAAGAAATTGTTGAACAGTTTCTGTTATATCATATTGTATTCCGTCACCGCTCTCCATATTTTATCTATCACGAATAAAGAATAATGTTCGGTCTGTTGTGTGCGTTTGTTTTCTGCAACAAATTGACGTCTCCGTCTCCAATGGTTTTGACGTCGCATACGTAGTAACTGACGCAGCCAATAGAAAGATCATATGAAGTCACGTGATGTGCAGACGTTCACTTTAATATATTCCATCGCATTTAAAAGTGTCAGGCAGAAACCTTCCCGTCAACAACTGGCAAGAAGGGGGAAAAACATCTTATAAAATACCAGATACGACAAAGGCCATTTTATCTATATATGTATTTGAAAGGGCGGGAACAATTCAGTACCGGATTTCTACAATCACAATCAAACCAGAGGACGGTTCACTTCAGTGTTGTAATATTTTTCTGGTCCTTCACGATACTATTGAAGAACTTATAAATGTTCATCAATCTAGCTTAAAATAATTCCTTTTAATATTCAGCTTTTAAAAAACTTTTGATTTATGACCAGATTTTTAAATATTTCCGTTACCGTAAAAAATACAAAAAACTTATTTCGTACATTTTACAAACAGGGTTTACGTTTTTTCATGGAGTGCTTTGACTAAAGGAACACGGCAACCCCCAAGTTTTAAAATTAATCACTTTAACTTTAAGGTGAAGTCTTTACAGCCTGTCTCCATGTTACAGTGAAAAAGAATTTTTGTTTGTGTTTCAAGTCACGCCGGCAGCGTACAGGCCATATTGAAACTTTTCAGGTTTACTTGTGGAAAATAGGTCATCCGTGCACAAGTGGGGACAGAGGTAGAACCATCAGTCTCCAAGATAGTTTCCTCACTTTAAAGAATGCAAAGACCGTAGCCTCTAAAGGAGTCTTTTAATGTTCCATACTTGTGGTAAAGGCAAATGCTCTATGCAGGTGGTAAAGGCCAATGTTCTACACTGATTATAAAGGCCAATGTTCTAAACTGGTGGTAAAGGCTAATGCTCTATACTGGTTGTAAATACTAATGCTCTATACTAGTGGTAAATGCAAATGCTCTGTACAGGTGGTAAAGGCCAATGTTCTATACTAGTGGTACAGGCAAATTGTCTATACTGCTGATAAAGGCCAATACTCTACCTTGTGGTAAAGTTTAATGCTCTATACTAGTGGTAAAGGCTAATGCTCTATACTAATGGTAAAGGCTAATACTCTAAACTGGTGGTAAAGGCCAATGCTCTATACTGGTGGTAAAGGCTAATGCTCTATACTAATGGTAAAGGCTAATACTCTAAACTGGTGGTAAAGGCCAATGCTCTATACTGGTGGTAAAGGCTAATGCTCTATACTAATGGTAAAGGCTAATACTCTAAACTGGTAGTAAGGCCAATGCTCTATACTGGTGGTAAAGGCCAATGCTCTGTCTTGTGCTAAAGGCAAATGCTCTATCTTGTGGTAAAGGCTAATGCTCTATACTGATGGTATAGGCTGTTACTAATGGTAAAGGCTAATATTCTAAACTGCTTGTAAATGCCAATGCTCTATACTGGTGGTAATGGCTAATGCTCTATACTAATGGTAAAGGCTAATACTCTAAACTGGTGGTAAAGGCCAATGCTCTATACTGGTGGTAAAGGCTAATGCTCTATACTGGTGGTAAAGGCTAATGCTCTATACTGGTGGTAAAGGCTAATGCTCTATACTGGTGGTAAAGGCTAATGCTCTATACTGGTGGTAAAGGCTAATGCTCTTTATTGGTGGTAAAGGCTAATGCTCTATACTATATACATTTATATACAATACTGGTGGTACAGGCTAATGTTCTATACTAATGGTAAAGGCTAATACTCTAAACTGTTGATAAGGCCAATGTTCTTTACTGGTGGTAAAGGCCAATGCTCTGTCTTGTGGTAAAGGCAAATGCTCTATCTTGTGGTAAAGGCAAATACTCTATACTGATGGTAGTGGCTAATGCTCTATACCGGTGGTAAAGGCTAATGTTCTATACTGGTGGTAAAGGCTAATACTCTAAACTGGTGGTAAAGGCCAATGCTCTATACTGGTGGTAAAGGCTAATGCTCTATACTGGTGGTAAAGGCTAATGCTCTATACTGGTGGTAAAGGCTAATGCTCTATACTGGTGGTAAAGGCTAATGCTCTATACTGGTGGTAAAGGCTAATGCTCTATACTGGTGGTAAAGGCTAATGCTCTATACTGGTGGTAAAGGCTTATGCTCTATACTGGTGGTAAAGGCTAATGCTCTATACTGGTGGTAAAAGCTAATGCTCTATACTGGTGGTAAAGGCTAATGCTCTATACTGGTGGTAAAAGCTAATGCTCTATACTGGTGGTAAAGGCTAATGCTCTATACTGGTGGTAAAGGCTAATGCTCTATACTGGTGGTAAAGGCTAATGCTCTATACTGGTGGTAAAAGCTAATGCTCTATACTGGTGGTAAAGGCCAATGCTCTATCTGGTGCTAAAAGCTAATGCTCTATACTGATGCTCCCTTATGGTAGATGGAAAAGGTACGATAATTGTCAATTTTTTTACAATTTCAAAGCCTCCATGGAACAGATTTTTCAAGAAATGATCTACAAGATATACGAGTATTTCATAGACGTTCCTTTAAACAAAATCAGACTCTGGTTTTCATCAGGCTGTAGGTGAATGGTATTTTGATAAGCTTCATATATATTTGATTTCACTTCAGCAATTTTATTGTTGTTTTTTTATCTGTTTTTTAAACATTTATATTCTGAAGGAATATAGAATGTAGGTTTCGCGAAACAGAGACATAAAAATAAAACCAACTACATGTATTGTTAAACAACTATGTTGTTTTAATTACATATTGCAATATGTATGCCGAAAAGGCATTTAAAAAATGCATAAATAATAAATAATTAAATAAAGATTATTAACATAACATACAAATGTGTAAAAACCTACTAATGTCTCATTAAGTAGTATGCATCAATATAAATGAAAATCAATCAGAGGTTTAATATATTTAGTATTTCTTATCACTATTTCTGCAGCATGACAGACGTCTAAAGAAATTAGCGATTCTTGTACCAAAGCCCCCTCTTGTTTCTTTCTGTCGCCTACTTTCCGCTAATTCATTCTGTTTCGCATTTTTCGAAATTTCTACAGCATTTTTGACAATCCTCTCAAGTTCCGCCTTACTAAGGTCTTCAGTGAAGTCGACCTTTACTTTACCGTATTTTGTTTTGATCTTTTTAACTTTTGAAACTTTAGGGAACACTTTTTCTTCCATTAAGTCATCTTTAACTGAAACCTTAGCATCGGTAAGTTTGTTTGCATCAGAGTTGTCAATACACTCTTTACGTAGGGAGCTAATGCTATCTTCATGTAGATTTCTGTATCTATTTGTGCAATCTTCTAAATGATCTGCAAAACTTTTCACGTCTGAGGTACTGGCACTTATATGACTATTAGACGTGTTGTCGTTGAAATTAACAGCTGAGATTTTAGCATTTGTTTCATATTTAAAACCTTTCTCCCGGCTGTCCTGTTGCTCTGCAAAACAAACAAAAATAATAAATTTTAAATAAAAAAAAACCGCGCCTTGCTTTGCAATTGATTTAAATCATGATCCATATGTTAGACATTTTTTTCACATGTAATAAGAGTAGTAAAGACTATTTCTATAAATCCAATGTTTGAATATAGATAACTTGTAGTTATTAATTTAGAAAAAACGCCGAGCGTGTGACATCCAGTGGCAGTGGGTTCAAATTCTATCAGACTGTCAGATATTTCGACTAGCACATAATTATAACACTTAAGCGGTAAAAGCACCTTTGAAGCGGTCAACAATTGTGCATTTTAAGCAGATGTCTATAGGACACTTGCAAAAAAGCGGTTATATTAGTATGGAAATAAATTTTATAAAATAAACTGTATATAGAATAATTTAAACTAAATGCAGTATATATATATATATATACATACAAAAATGAAAACAAAGTGCCGGAAAAAAGTCACATATAAATAAAACAAAAAAACACAGTCCATGAGTTAACTTATTTAATTATTTGCCAACGGGGTTTTCTTTTATGATCATCAGGGCAAATGTGACGTCGTCGCATAGTACGACGACGTTTTGTGTACACATGTGTACACATATCTAAAAATAGTAACGTCATTATATAGTATTAAGTTTTGGATTAAAAACATCAATAAAGTAGCGTTTTTTAGATAACCTAGCTGAAACGTTTTTACTGTGAAATTTATAAAAATGGGAAAATACAAAATTTCGGGTCTTTTTAGCAGCATTTATCTAAAATGCTCAATTAAAGGTAATTGTCTGGTTTTGATGGGTCTCTTATCTGCTGAGCGATGAACAGTTTTTTTCTGTTTCTGAGTTTATAGGCCAAACACGGGGGTGACAAAATTGTTTATTAAAGTTTCGGCTGAAGATAATGCGAAGAAAGCATTGAAAGCGCTACCGATTTTACATATAGAGTTTGTTATTTTCTTAAACATTATAATTTTATATATTTCAACACTGCCACAAGGAAACATTCATCACGTTTTAATATATATATATATATATATATATATATTATATATATATATATAATATATATATATATATATATATAAAAGGCGACCTGCTGACATACCTTTGCTAGCATTTAATGTGTAATCCATCACCATTGCTCTGATACTTGGTTTAACATTTGTAATTTGCTTCTCAATTCCCTCTGGTCGTCTAATCAAATTGGCGTATAAACTTAAACGACTCTCCAAGTATTCAATCTTTGAAAAAATATTACATTGGCTGTGAGATCTGGGGATTCTAGAGAAAACTGTTTCAGTAGGCCATTTCATCTTCTGATATTGTAGTCAGAAAGCACGTCCGTCTGATTCATCTAAAGGTACAAAAATGATTGTTATTTTATTGCAATTAGTTGTGTAAAACATTCGAAACACCTACAACTTCAGTAGCATTGATCATAGCGATTTCATATTTTGAAAATACATGTAAGTCGATTTAATGCATGCGTTTAATTATAAATCATTCTTTGGCAATTTCTACCAAGTAAAGAATTCTTCTATGAAAAATAAAAATGATATCTAAAATGAAAAAGGAAAATATAGATTTAGTTACCATTTGATATTTGTTGGGGTTTAGGATGTTCTTGAACTGTAACCTTCGTTTCAGTTGGACATATATGTTTATCATCCTCGGCAATCTGGACAGCTTTCCGTAACATATCGTTGACTATTTCATGAACGACTTGCAAACTGTCTTTTCTCTCTTTTTTCTCCACGCCAGTAATTATTTGTTCGAGTATCATGTCAAGAAATTGTTGGACAGTTTCTGTTATATCATATTGTATTCCATCACCGCTCTCCATATTTTATCTATCACGAATAAAGAATAATGTTCTGTCTGTTGTGTGCGCCTGTTTTCTGCAACAAATTGACGTCTCCGTCTCCAATGGTTTTGACGTCGCATACGTAGTAACTGACGCAACCAATAGAAAGATCATATGAAGTCACGTGATGTGCAGACGTTCACTTTAATATATTCCATCGCATTTAAAAGTGTCAGGCAGAAACCTTCCCGTCAACAACTACCAAGAAGGGGGAAAAACATCCCATAAAATACCAGATAGGACAAAGGCCATTTTATCTATATATGTACATGTATTTGAAGGGGCGGGAACAATTAAGAACTCACATAAGCGGAAGGTTCACTTCAGTGTTGTAATATTTTTTCTGTGTAAATGTTCATCAATCTAGCTTGAAATATTTTTTTTTATATTCAGCCTAAAAAAAAAAAAACAAAAAAAACTTTTTGATTTATGACCAGATTTTTTAATTATTTCTGTTACCGTAGGAAATAGATCTACAAAAAAACTAATTTCTCTATAGGTGTTTGTACTTTTTACAAACAGGGTTCACGTTTTTTATGGAGTGTTTTGACTAAAAGAACACGGCAACCCTCAAGTTTTAAAATTTTATCAATTGTATTGGCTTGCTAAAAGCAGAACTAACATGGATGCTTCATCGCAAAATTGATGAAAATATACTCATAAGAAGTATACAGGAGTTAACCATCGTTAACGACAGACCACTTTAACTTTCAGGTGAAGTCTTAACAGCCTGTCTCCAAGTTACAGTGAAAAAGAATTTTAGTTTGAGTTTCAAGTAACGCCGGCAATGTACAAGCCATATAGACCATATAGAAACTTTTCTTTTTATTTGAGGCACAAGTGATCAGTCTTCAAGATAGTTTCCTCACTTTAAAGACTGTAAAGACCGTAACCTCTAAAGGAGTTTTTTAATGTTCCATACTTGTGGTAAGACTAATGCTCAATACTGGTGGTAAAGGTTTATGCTCTATCTGGTGGTAGGGGCTAATGCTTTATTCTTGTGATAAAGGCTAATGCTCTATACTGGTGGTAAAGGCCAATGCTCTATACAGGTGGTAAAGGCTAATGCTCTATACTGGTGGTAAAGGCAAATGTTCTATATTGGTGGTAAAGGCTAATGCTCTATATTGGTGGTAAAGGCAAATGCTCTATCTGGTGGTAAAGGCCAATGCTCTATACTGGTTGTAAACACTTATGCTCTATACTGGTTGTAAATACTAATGCTCTATACTGGTGATAAAGGCCAAGCTCTATATTAGTGGTAAAGGCCAATGCGCTCTATCTGGTGGTTAAGGCTAATCAATTTCAATTCCAGCAGTGTAAGGGCTAAACAAATTTTAAACAGGAATAAAGTAGACAACAGGATGAGAGGGATAAACAAACTTATAGTCTGGTAAGAGAAATTAATGATAAAAATAAAATCTAGAATATTCCTTAAAATATATATTTCATCAAAATTTTGTCATATTTAACAAAACTACAATAGACAATTCATAAACATTGCAATGTTTGAAAAAAAGTGGATGGTTTCCAGCAATATAAATACATGTTTTTGTAGAAGACACAGAATTGTTTTAGCTTTGAGCTCTTTGAATTATCATTCTGCATTCAAACACAACTTAGTAATGCAATGTTGAATATGTGAACAACACAAAACTGAGCTATTTCTATTACTTTATCTTAAAACATTTACTAATATCTGAACATTTTGGTAACTATCTCACACATTATTTATTTTCTTAACATTGTTCAAATAAATTGTTATCAAAGAAATGCATTAATGATTTGTTTTTTCTGCTACACTAAAACTGGTCATATGGTGACTTTCTGGACAAGACTGCCTATCGTCACCTTTGTTCTTCTTTTTAATTATATAAAAGTTAACCCATTACTGAACTAAGGTGATGATATACTTCTCCATGCCTAATTTCAAGCACAAATAAACAACTTATAAGAACCATCGACCATCCAAAAATTTTATAAATTTACAAGACCTCATATAAAATATAAATCTTGAATCATTGGCGTCCGCGCCGAAGCGCGGCGCCCTTATGGAATGAAATCAGATTTTGTGAAAGGGCGACAGCAACTTCTCGAGCCTTTTAGTCGGTCATAATAAAAGCCGATCATTCCGATCGGTATGAGGATGCTTGATTATTAATTAAGAATGAAATGTCTCGATATGTGAACTAGAGAATTTTCGCAATGCAAACATTTTCAAATGAAATAACCTTTTCCGTCAATAAATCGCGCTCTTCGGGGTTTTTTATTTATCATTTTGTAGTACACAGTGGGTTATCATGGTATGTTATTGTTGTATCATAGTTTGGGTACCTTTCTGTTGAAAAAGTGTCAGAGTTAAATCGTATACATATACATGCACAGTGCGGTAACTGGAGTGCGGGTATCAGTTACCCGCACTCCAGATAATGCCCGTGGATTGGTTCATTTTTGCCGGGGTTTACATATTGTGACGGCAGAGAAAGAGAAAGGGGCAGAACTATCATATTCAAATGCTCGTTCATTGGTTCATTTTTTCTGGGGTTTCATATTATGACAACAGGGAACGTGCTGTCATGTTTGACTATGATACAAAAGAGAAAGAACACCAAAACACTCGGCAATCTGATTTATACTCGGGGGCTACGCCCCCTCGTACAAATCAGATAGCCTCGTGTTTCGGTGCTCTTTCTATTACTTGTACATGTATCCTAGAATGATCAGTTGATGACCTAAATATTCCGAAAATCTATTTATAGACATATCTATTTATCACTCCTATCGGTAATTACCGGTCTCTCCCGGTCTATTTTGACCGGGATTTACTAGTGACCGGCGAATAGTACCACACGTTTATTGTCCGGTCTCTCCCGGTTTTGGAGTAGATGTTTTGGTATCGTTACAATTAAAAAAACAAAACAACAACAACAATAGCATGTTTCATTTTATCTATATGAGATAAAAATGTACAATAATTGAGAAAAATGTACATTTTTATGGTATTTATATGACATTTTCAACTTTGAAACATTTTATTTAATTTGTTATCCGTGTTTAGTAAAGATGCGAGGAATTATTCAAAGTTACGAATTAGATTTTATGAATTATTCTTGATTGTTAATTTAAAAAATGATAAAGAAAAATACAAATGTACATGTACATGTACATGGTTTAAGAATAAACAATATTATATATTGAAAGATAAACCATAATTTACTGACTTTTTTCCAGTTAAGTTTTGACTTATAATCGTCGGTTAATATGACAATTGAATTCTTAAAATTTATTTTACAATTTTAATAAAAAAGAGTTAGTAAAAACTCAGTATTAAAATAGCACATAAAACACAAAAAAGTAAAGAAAACAATATTCATAAAATTTGTATTTTTTTTTATTAAAATTAATAGATATTACCTTAATTGTATAATAAACAATTATGCTCAACATGATCAACATGGTAATATAACCAGTGTCATATTTTTACTAAGTCTGAACAGATACCTTATTGAGGGGTCTTCGCTAATAGCGATAACATAATAAGGGACAATTACAAAGGTGTGGTACGTGTTGATCATGCGTTACACATATGAATTACAAATGATTGTATACATGTATATCCGTTGCTATTGATAACCAAGATCATAAAGAAATAACAAGTAATATTTTAATCTCTAGCATGCCAATCAAAGTTCATAATGAACAATGTCTTTCGTCCGCTCATTCATAAGTGATATACATTTCTGGTAGTTTATAAGAATATCTTGTCATCATATGTCTACTAGTTCATCTTCACTTGCTGCATTTCTTACTTGGACGCCCTTTGATGCTTTGCATCAATGCTTTTCTTGTAATATATTAGTACAATTACAGATCATGAACTATGATAGAAGATTTATAAGTAAACAAAAAACAAATATCAACAAGATAATTTCTATACAATCTCTACATAATCCAATGAAAAATATTTTTCACAGGAGAAAATTGCAAACTTAACTACAAAACATTATTTTCCATATATAACATATCTTAACAAGAGCTGTCCACTATTTTCAGTGCTAATTAGTAAAACAAGAACCTTGATAAAGTAAGAATTAACAAAGAGGAGGATTTCATTTACAAAATTACACATAATTTACATGACATAGTTATAAGAAAAGGATATTGACTTGTTCTGTTAAGAGGTCTGGACCTTATTTCATTCAAAAACCCATGCCAAAGTAATGGGTCCTCAAAAGTAACTTGAATTGTAATTAAAAAGCATGAATCAAGTTTTAAGTGGATACAATCAGTAGTTTTTGGAAGATAAATGTTGCAAGCAAAGTTTAAACCAAATATTGTCTAAATTCACAAAGGGCCATAATTCAGTCTAAAAGTGATGGGCCTTGGAGAGTGACTTCCAATTGTGATCCCAAAAACAACGCTAAAGTTATGGGCTTTGTACACTGACCTCCTAATCTGCTTTCAAACACATATAAGTGTGTTAAGTTGCAAGAAACTATCATAAGTGGCTGGTGAAATTTGATGTTGCATGCAATACTTTAACCAAAGTATTACTCAGACCTGATGCCTGGATAAGTAGGATAGCCCCTATATTCTTTTAATAGTTGACCTAAAAAACATCTGATTATTTATATTTAAATACTAAATTAACTATTTTAAACAAAATTAGCATACAATGCAAATTTTTGTTGTTAAAAATAATGAAATATTGGAATGCTCTAGTGTTTACGATAATTTAAGAAACCAGTTTTTTTTACTATTAAAACAAACTGTTTTTCTTAGCATATGGTCCCTTTAACCCACCACAAGGTAGTGTAGTTTTTAGCAAACAATATATTATATTAATTAATTCAGATAGGAATACAATGTACAATTACAGTTTCGTTAAATTTGGTTTCCGTCATATACTTCCATCTGTTTTGTTTCCATCAACTTTAAAGCCACATGCCTCCAGATCTGCGAGTTCTAACCCAGTTTGGGGCAAAATTTTGTTTTGGTTCAAGAAATCGATTTGAGAGTATGTCTTAAGGGTGTATCAATATGCTCACCTCATCATACGATATGTATTGTAATACTGGCTCCATGATACAATACTATTACGATACTGATTGTCTGAAGAAAATTAGGGCCACACCCAACTATTTATTTATTTCTGAAGTCAAACCCATATAAAGAAGATTACTATACTCATAAACTGCTATTTGGTTCTTCTTTAAGGCACATAACTTAATCTAAATATAAGCTCATACAACAAAAAAACAAAAACATCAACAATGTGCATCAAAAAATATTTGACCCTTGTTATATTATTCACCGGGAAACAAAGTCATTCACTGCATTTGTAAAACACATTATGTATATGACAAAATGAAAAATGATTTTCACCACAGCTAAATAATCCTTCAATAAAACATTATAAATCCTAAAACAGTTAACAGATCAAAACAATATTCGATGAGCAAGATATGTAATGTCTACAAAGTTCATTCAATAACATTTATGTGACAAGAGCACTGCTAGGCGTAGCATTATATGCCCGAAAGTGATTTTTTTTAGCAAGGATGAAGCATTTGTAAGATATGGGAATTAAATAATTTTACTACAACGGATGGACAAAAAGACGCCAGGGATATGACATGATATAAGCAAATTTTTCAGGGCATATAATTAATGTAATCAATATAAGCTGTAGGTTGATTAATACTTAAGTTATTGAGCGAAAACCATTTTCAGTGACCTTGACTTTGTGACCTAAAAATTAATAGGGGTCTTCTATAATATTGACAATCATCCTATGAAGTCTGAACACTGTGGGCCAAATGGAACTTAAGTTATGCTCCAGAAACCACAACTTTTTTCAGTGTGAAGATCATTGTTACCCTGACCTTTGACCTTATAACCCCAAAATCAATAGGGGTCTTTAACCCATAATGGGCAATCATCCTATGAAGTTTGAATATTGAGGGCCAAATGGAACTTTCGTTATGCTCCGGAAACTGTTTTCAGTTTTTAAGGTAATAGTGACCTTGACCTTTGACCTTGTGACCCTAAAATCAATAGTGGTCTTCTACCCAATATGGACAATCATCCTATGAAGTTTGAATATTGTGGGCCAAATGGAACTTAAGTTATGCTCTGGAAACCAAATTGCTAACAGACGGACATCCAGACAGACGGACGGACGCTAGGGGGTATAACATAATATGGCCGAAATTCTTTTGGGCATATAATAAACAAATCATAAATTATTTCTGAATCAACTAATTCTGTGTAGTGGACTCGACTGCCTAGAAAGTTGGGACACCTGGATGAGTACATTAGTAGCTTTCCCTATTCTTCGTATAGTCAAGCTAAAAAGGTTTTAAATTTGAATTTTGCTGCTTTTAACATCTTACCAAATTTCTATAGAAATACTTTGAATAAGTAATTACCTTATGACTGTGACATTTTGAAAATAAGTGATATAAAAAATAACAAGGTTCTGGATTATACATAAGTTTGATATTAGGAAACCAGTATCAAAATCAAAGTCTACCATTTGTTAATTCAAATTTACATTTTGAAAACAGCCAATCATAAGCTTTCATATGACAGACTATTAACTATTTTCAAGTTTTGAAGCTACACGACAAGTGAACAAATTTTCAAATATCCAAACAGGTTTATAAAATGTATAAAGAAAACATATAACCAAACTTTGATCATTTTTTTGCATAATTTATCCTCTTACTTATAGAGTTAGTAGTAGTTCTTAATATTTAGACATATTAAATGACAGTATTTACCTCAGACTAGTTAAAATCAATTTATTTGTCTACTTGACAGAAGTTTTAGTAAACTGGAATCTCTAAACTTGCATAAATGTTTACAAGAATTCACATTCACAATGTGAGCTGTGCTAATTTAAAATCTAAAACACTGTAAAGAAAATATAACTTTTTGTAAATAAACTATGTACTGTCTCTGATTATGCATTGTCAAATTCTATATTGTATGGATTGGTAATTGTGTCACACTAGTCCACAATCTGTCATAATCTTCGTCACATTGACTGTGTAGGCATTGCTGGAACTTGCTTGCTTTAATCTCTGGAAAAAAACATAAACACTACATGTTTGTTTAAAACTTATTTATTTCAGCTTCATGACACATAAACTACTAGGCCACTGCTCCCTTTTTTACACTACACTACATGTTACCTATAAATAAAGTAAGAAATGTAATCCAATGATAGTGTAAAGCATTTCTGTATCAAAGTACTACAAGTAGTGGTCATGATCAGACAGTACCAATGTGATGAAACAAGTCTCTTATTCTTATCATCACTATTTATCAGAAAGTACAAAGATTTGAACAGTTTTAGGTACAGTCTTAATTATTTGTTTATCTGGATTTTAAGCCATAACTACACAATTTTGGTTGTATCTTGACAATTGATCCACCCAACTGAGCTTTCCTGGATAACTAACCATTAATTACTAAATTCTCCGCAAGCAACTGGCTGCTTATCCCATATGATTTCTGAATCAACAGTGAGAGACTCATTAGAACCATTAGACTAAAAGTTCGAGCAATTGTCACAGAGAAATTTTGTTTCCCCCAAGGATCAAACCAACGAACCCTGGATTACATGTTCTCCTTATTGAGTTAAGCAGGTGGACTCAAATAGTTATCATAATATAAATAAACTTTAAATTCAACAAACACATTATATTCTGTCAAAATGGAGAAAACAGAAGCAAATTTATGACAAAGTAAGCATAGTTTGTATGTCAAGCTACTGTTCTCTGTAAAATATCCGGTACATATTTCAAAACTGTCATCTGTAAAGCTCCCATTAGTGATTTTTATATTTCATGGTTTGGCAAGTATTGCTGACAGTAAATTTTGCAGGGGCAAATTATTTTACCTGTCACTGTGGCTTAAGGAGAACACTATAATGTAACAACTATTTCTCCAGACTATACCTTTATTTCTGTGAACTGGTCACTGGGAGGAATATATGATTTAGGGCAGTACACACTACAAAGTTTCAACCATACCAGGTCAGCATCTACCTCTGTCAGTTCTTTACAACAGTCTATACATGCCTGAAATATATCCAAATAAAACACTCACAGATAACCAGTAAAATTATTAAAACTAATACCATCTGAATACCAATTATGACAATGACTTAAGAGTGCCAGTCACAACTTTTGTGACAAGGACATCATGTGAGTTATACAAAATTAGCATGGCAAGGATTAAAGATATACTATGTCCAATTTTGATAATTGTCATACAGCCTGTATGTAAATATAAAATAAACATTTTTTAACATTACACAAAGTAGGTTAGTTATATTTAAAATCATGCACACTATAGGTGGTCACAATATGAATATATGTCATTAAAAAAACTCGCAGTTTTTTTGGTTTTTTTTCAAGAAAAGACCAACATTATTTGACCTGTAATAGGGAACGCACCTTCCCATACATAGTTTACTCCTTCTTTTATTCAAAAAAGACATATTCAGTAAGAATTTCATAGATTTCAATAATTTTTTCCCATAAAATATTTTACTCAAGGATAAGCATACTATAGTATATCTTTAAGAAACAATGTACATGCAAATATGAAGCCTGTCTTAGCTTGATGTAATAAATAAAGTTTAGCAAATGTTTTGAAATTCATAAAGATAATGAACTTCTAAATATTCCTTATTCATGCAGAAGATAAGAGTCTCCTCTTTATCTAATACAGAATGTGATGTAAAACAAAAAGTGCTATGAATGAGTAATAAACTTTAATATCCCACTGATGAAACTATAAACTTTCAATTTCATCAATCAGCAACAAGTACATCCTAATATCATGATTGTACCATGCTACAATACTGCCACATAATTTTATTATTTTTTATGTTATGAAAATCAATCCAATATACTTCATTTAAATAATCAAACTGATAAGATGTTAAGATTAAAGTTAACTTACATTTTGTAGGGTGGCAGGTTGTTTGGTATGAAGATATGGCATACAACTGGTTGTAATAAGGTCAAGGTCACTACCTTCTATACATGTCTACAATACAAGATTTCACAATTATACAAGGCACTTACAAAAACCCTATATTCTGCTTATCATTATCATTTTCAACCAAACACTGATTAAAAGTCAGAAAAATATATAAAATATATGTTAAAACAAGAGATTTGTGTTGAAACTAAGTATCTTTACTAGGGCTGGGAATTATATTCGAATATTTGAAACACTACCGAATATTCAAACCTTGAAAAACGAATACGAATATTCGAAAAAAATGGTTTATTTTTTGTTATTACTGTCAAATTTCAATTAAGATCGTAAATTAAACCATTAACCTGTACTTGACCAGGTGTTCACATATTTGTATGACGCGTGTCAACGATTGGGGTCTAGTTGATCAAAAAGGCACCTGTTTCACAGTTTGCAATTTACCTGTTAAACAGTTTATAATTTAATTATTTCCGATTTTAATTATCTTATTTGTTGTTTTCTGTGCTATAATCTTTCCGATTTATCTATAACTGTCTTAAATTTTGTGAAGACAAATAAATCAGCACGCATTAATTGCTGTATTATTAAAGCATGGGAAGTGTCTATATTCCATCAGAATATATTTATTCCGTAGAAATTAGACTCTGTATGATATTTACTGCGTTATAGCTAAATTTATCTGAAGAATATTTTAAACCTTATCTAAAATTATAAATAAATAAAAAAATATTTAATACAAGTTAAGTTTCAATATAATTATGTGTTATTGGGGCTAAGAGGCTACGGTGGACAATCAAGTCACGTGAGTTACCTCCCGTTAATAAGACAAATGATCAGCAGTCGGATTAACTGAACAAAAGGCAATCAAACTATGAATTTATTTCAAAAGTTAACATATATGTCAATTTACAATATATAAAATTTTAAAAAAACTTTGACGTAGTAATAAAGGTATTTTAATTGTCGATTTTTCCAAGCATATTAAAGTAGTATAGTATTGGACACAATCAATTTCGGATACATATACGTCAAAGAGAAATATTGGAACAAAAGTTGTAAAAACGAATATTCGAATAATTTGAATAAGGAAAACGAATATTCGAACATCAAATTACTTATTCGTACCCAGCTCTAATCTTTACCTACAATAAACAGCACCTGAATACTTAACTGATATTCAAAGTAATTGAGCTCATTCCTTTTTTTCCAATTATAAGCCATGGAGCCCATGAATTTCAAGAAACAACATGGTCTTTGACAGATTTTCTTGTTTAGGTTATCACCTTTGTCTCAAAATTTATCACCCTAGCTCAACATTTTCAGCATACATAGTTACATACAGACATAAGTGACACTGTAGTAAGTTTCACCATCTGAAGATTTCAGAGTAATAACAACATCCACTACCATTTAACAAGGGTTAATTTACACTGAAATAGTCAAAGTGAGTTAAGTGAGTAAGTAAATGTCTCTTCCAGTTTGGCTGAATAAATAGAGAATTATTTTTAACTATAATAAGTATATATATAGGTACATACCAGTTTCGCAATGCTGCTTATATTTCTCAATACTGCCAGTTGAAGTTTGTAGTTTACAGTGAACTGGTATGCTGAACCTGCATGAATACTGAAATATAGAAATATTCCTTAACTTTCTGAGCAAAGAGGGGCAATAATGACCTGTTTACAGACTGTCTTGACTGATTTTATGCCTTCCAATTTATAGTTAAACTATTGCATACTAATCTTTTTTTACCATGGCAAAAGTCATGTTTTTCGGTGTAACAATTTTGAACTTCTTGCAAACAAAGGACAACTTAAGTACCTGATTAAGGCTTGGTTACTGAGGAATGTTGATAATTTAGGCAGAACATCTTTGGTAATTCTGTGTTTAACAAAATCTCCCGCAGATCTGGCTATCACTTGTAGTACATCTAATGCCTGAAAATATGAACAAATGTTTATTGGGACTACTATATAAAAGGTAACCTTCTGTTTAAATGTGTTTATTTACGCTTGATTGCTGTAACAACCCAGGCGTTATCTGAATCACTCTCCTGTTAAGTTAGTTAAATTCACTATGATTGGAAATGAAAACATCCTTGTGATCCTAGCACTCCATCATCACTGGGAGACAGTCATACTCTAGACTACCTCTTCATGATAACCTCATGGAATGCAGTAGAGCTGTAAATCGGACAATCTGGATTCGCTTCAGATGGTGCAGGTCACTTTCCTTGTGATTCATGATCATGAAATTCTTTCTACGATCATTCACACTGTACCTCTACTATGGCATGTACAGAAGTTATCAGTTTCTTGTAAAAGTGAAGGCAATCTTTACTGGTAAACTGCTCGACAGCCTGCCCAGGAACGATGTGGTGGCTGACCTTTGCTCTGGTATACAGTTGACTCTCAATAAGTCAAAATCGCTTTACTCAAAATTCCGCCTTAGTCGAATAATTTCTAAAGTCCCGTCAAATTTCCTTCTTTATCTTTGTATTTTAACTCCGCTTAGGTCAAATTTTGACTTACCGAGACTCCTGTTTAGTCGAAAAGAAAAATTTGGTCCCTCAATTAAAGTCCAACATATTTACATCTCAATAAGTCGAAGTGTGAAAACAACCGTCTGATCAAAGGTCGGCAACATCAAGGTGAGATGTTGTCACTCATGATTTACACGTTTCATAGTAATTTTTAATTGCCGGTCATCATGTATTATTAACACGTCGTAAAAGTGGCTTTAATCCGTTTCAGGACTTAATTGGTTTTAACAGTTAGATAACTAAATTAAAATTTAATTACATTTCTTAAAGAAAGTTGACTCATGCCAGTCTGACGGGTGTTAGTCAAATAACAGCTTAGGTATTGATGTGTGTTATCAACGTAAAGGACATTTGTTTAATTAATTATCTGTCATATTTGTACTTCCGGTTCACGATAGTTGCTAATTTCGTTTTCGTCCGATGATGAATTAAATCAAATGTAATTGTGTGTTTCTGTTTCACTATTAATATACATGTATTAAATTTTGAATGATATATTTTTGTTCATTTATAATTTGCAGTTGTAAGTGATTTACCGTCATTTCAATGGTTAAATATTGCAGCATTGCCGCTAACAACAATAACAAACCTACTCCTTTGCACATTCAATCAGGCACATGTATATACATGTAATGGTGGTAGTTCCACGTTACTCGAATTCCGTTTCTCTCGAAGTTAAATGCCCAGTCCCTTGGATTTCGAGTTACCGAGAGTCAACTGTACATGTATATGTTTTCAACTTTTATGAAGCACAATGATTTAATATGATACTCACCTTCACTGTGACCAACTTTTCTTCATCAGCAAAACAAGCATTGAATGATGGCCAAATCTGGTGAATCAGGGGCAATAACTCTTCTACAATACAATATTTACTACCATTAGCACAGCTATTTTGATAAATAAAATTGAAGTGCTTATAGTTCCAAATATTAAATTAAAAGCATGTTAAAGAAACAACAAGAGCCACCGCCGGGTGGGGGGCAATGCTTGACTTTTTACTTTTTCTAAAAGCAAACAAAGAAATGTTTGAACAAATCTTAACGTTTCCTTTTTATGAATTTAATCGGTCTGTCTTGTCACACAAGTTTTGTCTATATATTTTTATATTTTGTATATATTTACATACGCATTTATATTTATACGCATATATATATATATATATATATGTGCGGACAAAATTTAAGTATGAAAATTAACAAAGGGCAATAACTCAAAAATTAATTTACTATATACAAATAGGAGGGAAAATCAATGAATCCCCCCCAGGGCAGGGCCAATTTTGACCCCAGGGCAATTATTTGAACAAACTTGGAAGACACTGACAGGATGATGTTTCATGCCAAATATTTAAGCTTTAGCTCATTCGGTTTTCTAAAAGAAGATATTTTAAGTTTTTTCTTTTGTTGCCATGGCAACCAGAGTTCTTGCTTGGAATTAAATTCTTTGACCATTTTTTAAAGTTGACTACCAAAAGAACATTCCTGTGAAGTTTGGATGAAATTGGCTTAGTGGCTTATGAGGAGACACCGGACGAAAAGCGATCACAAAAGCTCATCATGTGACTTTGTGACAGGTGAGCTAATAAAAAAGGGAAATTCAAAGTTAACAGGGAAGATTATTCTGGAAATGTGGACAGTAGATTTATAAACCTAGTCATAATTATGATCTGGGAATTTGAAGTTTGAAGAAAATTCCATAGAAAAAAAAATCTAAGTTCAAAGGGGGGGGGGGCATACAAACTAGGATATTGAATCTTCTCACACATGATTTGAGTCATAATATTTAGGAACATATACATGTACTTGAAGTTTGAAGTAGACACCTTAAGAAATAAAGAAGTTATAGAAATGAAATTTCCTGAGTTCAAGGATGATAATTCTGATAAGTGATAGAAATATGAACCTATTGCCACATATGATGTGGGTGATGATAAAAAACATATATTTAAAGTTTGTAGTTGATACATTAAGAAATAAAGAACTTAAACAAAAACAACATTTTTTCTAAGATAAGGGGATTTGTGAACCTCCTTGTGCATAATCTCCATATCTATCCATATTCCAAGTTTCATAAAAATATTTTCAGTATTTTTTATTTATTGTTATATTTGCCATTTTTTAAGTCTATTTGTTGCCATTATATATAGCAACCAAATTTTTCAACATAGATATGTGCACAATCTCCAGACTGCCATCTACTCATATTTCAAGCTTCATAAAAATGTTTTTTGCGATATCATGGGGTCCAGTTTTTGTGTTATATTTGCCATATATTTTATATCTATTTGTAACAATTACAACCAAATGTTTCAATATAGGAAGAAAAGAAAAATGCATGCATAATCTTCAGACTTCCATCTACCCATATTTCAAGTTTCACAAAAATATTTTCAGTACTTTTTGTGTTATCAAGGGATCCAATTTTGTGGATGGATGGATGGACAGACAGATGGTTGAAGAATGGATGTATTCAAAGTCTGGTATATAAGTGGCTACTCTTTTGTTCTCTCTATTGTTCTTTTAGCCAGGTAAGAGAAACAGTAGCCACCTATGAGCTAACTGAATGAAAAGCATCAAAGGAAATTTACTCTTCCCATAGCCCTCTAAGTATCTACCTGTTTGTACAGACAGACAGGCAGACAGACAGACGGAGGGTAAACCTAAAGTCCCCTCCAGTTAAACCAGCAGGGGTCTAATAACAAAATTTTATCAGAAGATCTATTGCCATATAATTATTTTGTATACCTATATAGTTTTTTATTTTTCGTTTTGTTTTGTTTGTTTTTGTTTGGTTTGGTTTTACAGGGCACCAACTTATTTTAGGTCATATGGTGCTGAAATAGGGAAGATGAATTTGGATAACCCTGGATAAGCAACACCAGGGGTCAAAGCCACCTCACCTGCTATAAACAAAACCCATTTAGTCGCCTTTTATGAACACCTAGGGATAAACGGTGGCTGCAATTCTGATGCTTGAACCCTTACAGGCAACCCCTCAGCCACAAGGGTGATACATGTATGTATGTTTTCTCATGAAAATACAGAGTTTTATCACAAAAAAATAGTCATTATATATATAAGTTTTCTTATGAAAATACAGTTATTTATCTCTGAAAGAATGATTGTACATGCAATATTCTTTAACCTTTTACCCCATGAGCATATTGTGAAAAATGGCCATTTTCACTGAAAAGCCTCCTGTTACAAGTTCAAACTGCTATGAAACTATGAACAAGAGCTGTCACAGGAGAAAGTGAAGCTCAACTAATAAAATACTGGACGCAGAAAGGAAGACAAAACTATGAAAAAAACTCAATTATGTATAATTATGTATTAAGTTATAGTAAAAAAATAACACTGTTAACATAAATTTCAAGATCAAGGGGAATAATTCTGGAAATAGTCACACTAGAGTTATGAACCTTGTCACACAACATGTGTGTAATGATAGAAAATATATTTTTGAAGTTTGAAGTAGATTCCTTAAAAAGTAAAGAAGTTATTATATTTCTGAAAGTTCAAAGAAAGATAAATCTGTAAATAAATGCTTCAAGAGTTATGAACCTTATTACATAAAATGTAATTGATGATAAAGAATAAGTATTTGAAGATTGAGGTAGATACCTTAAAAACTACAAAAGTTATAGTAAAAAATAACATTTTTCAAGAAAATAATCTAATTTTATGAGGAGATAATTCTTGCAATATAGGTGCTAGAGTTATGAACCTCTTCACACAACATGAGGTTTATGATAAGGGACATATATTTGAAGTATTAAGTTGATACCTTAGGAAATAAAGAAGTAACAGTAAAAAATAATATTTTTAAAGGAAAATTCTTAGTTCAAGGAGAGATAAATCTGAAAATTACGGTGCTAGAGTTATGAACCTTGTCGCATAAGATGTGGTTGATGATAATGAGAAGTAACAAAGTAACAGTAAAAAATAATATTTTTTAAGGACAATTTTAAGTTCAAGGGGAGATAAATCTGAAAATTTTGGTGCTAGAGTTATGAACAGTGTTGCATAAGATGTGGTTGATGATAAGGAACATATATTTGAAGTATAAAATTTATCCCTTAAGAAATAAAGAAGTAACAGTAAGAAAAACAGTATTTTGTAAGGAAAATTCTAAGTTCAAGGGGAGATAAATCTAAAAATATTGGTGCTAGAGTTATGTACCTTGTCACATAAGATGTGGTTGATGATGACACCGACGCCGGGGCGAGTAGGACAGCTCTCCATATACTTTGTATAGTAGAGCTTAAAATGCTTTAATACTGATGAAACTTGGCACAAATGTTGACTGGACCATAGCCTCTGTAACAGCATGCTCAATCGTAAATTTCCAGTTACAATGGGAACGGGGGGACGTCTCAAGATTGCGAAAAAATCACTATTTTGCATTTTTTCCCCATCAAAACTGATTTCAAAGTGCTGTAACTTCTCAATGAATTGAGATAGAGTAAAAGGCTTTTCTGCGTCGGTTACTAGATCGACCTGAGGCCATTTTTAGCCTGTCACATGTCCAAAATTTTCTTGGTGATGAGGGGGAATACCGCCCCCTTCAAACCCCCCAAACAGGCACCAAAAAAGTGATCACTTTTTTAACAACATTTCTCAAACGAAAAAGTGTTTTGGACCTAAATAGGGTTTTTTTTTTCACTGTTTGAGGCCTCAAAATGGAGGGGGGTGGGCGAACAGCTGTCAAAACACGTCTATATGAGGTAAAAGGTTAAATAATTTTAATTCATATGTTGTCTTATAAAAATTTCTTTATTGCTTTAATAGAAAGCACTTTATATTAAAGTCCTTATAGTCCTTATAGTTTCATGTATATTGGGGTATTTTATTTCAACAGAGGAAACAATCAAATAATCTAAAAAAACAATGAGGATGAAGAAATGAGTTATTTTCCTCACTTCACATCACCAGAGGAAGTAAAAGTAGCAAAGTTTCTTTCAATCTTGCGAAACAGAGTCAATACAATTCCTATGATTTTTTTTTGCGACATAGTTCCAAATCAACTTTTCAAAGTAAGTTTATTTATTTTTGTACACATATTTTAACAAAGTATTTCATTAAAATTTTATTATGTAAGAGTTTAATGCCAGTAAATAATGTTTATATTTAATTCAAGTATCCTTTTCCTAGCTTCTGCTTTACCTTACAATTTTAAATAATATAATGTAATTTTTACACAAAATTTAATCAAATTTATAACTATGTATTGATGAAAAAAATATTATAAATGTAACTCTGGAAATCAAAAATGTTTCACTATTTTAAAGTACTAGTTCAATTTACTATTGATAAAATGTAATTTGCCAGGATTAACTTTAACATTCAGTATTAAGAAATTAATTAATCACACATCCCCTCATCTATTAATACACTGACATCAAAATGTTCATGTAATAAAAATAGGAAAATATTGAAACAAATAGATACTAAGAGGATATTTTTTCGTTTGCGTGAAATATGGAATATATTTTCATGAAACATGATAAAATGCCACATATTTTCACGAGCCGAAAATATGTGGCATTTTATCATGTTGAGTGAAAATATATACCATATTTCACGAAAAACAAAAAAAATAACCTTTTTATTTAATTTCATTGTCAAAGAAAATGGTGATGAATCCCCTTGCTTGCTACCAACTGCAATTGTACAGCGCGCAGTAATTTATGCGTAAGCACGCGCTGTTTGGCGCTATATTGTGACGTCATGTAAACAACTCTTTAAACGTCTGTACAGCGTTAATTACTGAATTAAAGATATTGGTGTTCGGATTAATTTTCTTAGTTAGACCGTTTTCTATCATGCTAGATAGTTTTCAAAACAATATTCAAG